AATCAATAGTTGGTGCTGCAGCTAGTCATTTTCCATGAGAACAACAGTATAATTAGTGTGCGGTTTCCTGTATCAAAGTAGAGAAGGTGCTCTTTAAACTAGACAAAAATAAAGGAATAGAAAATTTTAAAACCAATCATCAAAACAAAGTGAGAAAAACAAGCTACAGATTGAAAGAATTAGAATTAGTAGATGAAAAATAAGTAAAGAAATAGAGACATTAAAATCATTTTTATGCCTAACAAGTGCAAGGCCCTGAGTTCAAACTTCCAGTACTACCAAAAAAAAAAAAAATCATTTTTATTAGAGGTTAGAATAATAGTAACAAAGACAATGAGAAAGATTTAGACGTTACCCTGGGAGAAAGGAACCAACTTGGAGGATCAGGAAGAGGCCTTTTAGGGCTATTGATACCCTGTAATTTGTTATCAATAGCAGGTACACAGTGTGTATACGTGGCAGAATTTTATAAAGTTGTATGCTCAGGATTTATACACTGACCCAGGTGAACATTAAATGTAAAAAAAATTTACAAAACTAGATTTAGCTAATATATATGTATTGTATGGAATTTCATAATCCTCTGAAAAGGTAATTTTTCGTATCTCCATTGAATTTTCAAAAATCATATAAAACCTTAACAAATGTAAAAAGTAAAAGATATAATAGCCAAATTCTTTGCAGATAACCCAATAAAATTTTAAGTAAAGTCACAAAATATACTGGCTACTTGAAAAGTATGAAATGCTGCTTTGATCAAAAAAATAAACATGGCCAGGGCATATAGCTATGGTAGGGCACTTGCTTAGCTTACATAAGGCCCTGAGTTTGATTCCCAACAGCACAAAAATAAAAATTCTATAAGTGAATAGGGAAATATTTCACTGCAAAACTGCATTGACTGGGGGTGTGACTCAAGTGGCAGATACTTGCCTAACCAAGCACTAGCCCCTGAGTTCAGTTCCCAGTAATGAAGGGGAGAAAAGGTTGTATTGAAAAAGTAGAACTCACAAAAGTATGTTGCCTAAAATGCATTTATTCAAGAAAACCGTAAAGGGATTTTAGTATTCCTAAGAAATTAGAAAAATAAGCTGGCGCCAGGGGCTCCCACCTATAATCCTAGCTACTTAGTAAGTAGAGACCAGGAGTATCACGGTTCAAAGCCAATCTGGGCAGATGATTTTCAAAACCATATCTTGAAAATACCCAATACTGGAAGAGTGGCTCAAGTGGTAAAGGGCCTACCTGTCAAGTGTGAGACCCTGAATTCAAACCCCAGTATTGCCCCTTCCTCCAAACAAAAGAAAAGAAATTAGAAAATAAAACTCCAGAAGACATTTGAAGGTAGGAAATAATAAAGTTAACATTCATAAAATACTTTTTTTTTTTTTTGGTGGTAGTGGGGCTTGAACTCGGGGCCTACACTTTGAGCCACTCCACCACCCCTTTTTTGTGAAGAGTTTTTTTGAGTAGGGTCTGGATTCAAACCACAGTCCTCCTGATTTCTGCCTCATGAGTAGTTAGGATTACAGGCATGAGCCACGGGAGCCCAGCAAAATTCATAAAATAATATTTAAATATTAGGAACGAGGATGGAGCCAACCGTAGATGTGAAAGAGATTAAATAAGATAACACCACATGTAATTCTGTAGAAATTTGAAAGCTGATTCTTCCTCTAAGCATATGCAAGGGTTTGTTTGTTTGTTTATAACTAAGAATTTAGGAGGAAACCTAAAATGAAAAGACAAATTTTGATCATATAAAATTGTAAGATTTTAGTCAGGAGGAAGTTACCATATACTAAATCAAAAAACAAATGAAATATTGTGGCATATATTTGCAACCCATATGACCAATAGAATATTAATGGTTACATTAAACAGCTTTTATTAATTCTTAAGTAAAAGAAAGACATGAATATTAATAGACTAATCATTAGAAGATATCCAAAAGGTCAGTGAACATGTAAAAAGACATTCAACCCCCAGAAATGCCAATTAAAACAACATACCACTATTAAAACATGAAAGTGGTAAAAATTATTAACACATAGCTAATAAAGATGCTGGAAAATTAGTACTCATGTTAAATGTAGGCATATGAATTCTTAGTGCCTTTTTAAAGTGCTATAGTGGTTAGAGTCTTAACTCATTAGTAGAGTGTGTGCTTACAGAGTCCAAGTCCCTAGGTTCATTCCCCAACATCCTGCCTCACTCTCCCCTGCCCAATAAAAAGTAGTGTTATCATTTAGACTAAGAAATTACACTCCTTGGCTCTGTGTTTTAGAAATAGAAACACAAGCACAAAAGCGTATACATACAGAGATATTGTATACCAATTAGAAACACTGGAAGTTCATCAAAGAAGGGAAAATTTAGTAAATTTTGATAAATGCATGCATGGATTGTTAGGCAGCCTTTAAAAATAGAGTCGTCACTGTTGGCTTTAGAGATTTTCATAATTTTCTATTAAATTAAAAAGCTAGATGCAGAGAAATACATGTACTATAATTCTCTTGTAGACTAAATGATGTCCCAAACTTTGACCTTATGTGAGTATATATATGTGATTTTCTGAGATTTTGTGAACATGAGAGAGTAAAATGCCAGTTGTTGAAAAAGAGGAAGAGGAAGCCCATAGTATTTTTTTTATTATTATTCATATGTGCATGCAATGCTTGGGTCATTTCTCCCCGCTGCCCCCACCCCTCCCTTACCACCCACTCCACCCCCCTCCCTGCTCGTGCATGTTGTTACCTTCTAGGTTAATTCTTTTTGATCTAACCCTTTTCTCTAGTTCCTGGTCCCTTCTCCTATTGGCCTCAGTTGCTTTTTAAGGTATCTGCTTTAGTTTCTCTGCATTAAGGGCAACAAATGCTAGTTTTTTTTAGGTGTCTTACCTATCCTCATATCTCCTTGTGTGCTCTCACTTTTATCTGTGATCAAAGTCCAATCCCCTTATTGTGTTTGCCCTTGATCTAATGTCCGCATGTGAGGGAGAACATACGATTTTTGGTCTTTTGGGCCAGGCTAACCTCACTCAGAATGATGTTCTCCAATTCCATCCATTTACCAGTGAACGATAACATTTCGTTCTTCTTCATGCTGCATAAATTCCATTGTGTATAGATACCACATTTCTTAATCCATTGTCAATAGGGCATCTTGGCTGTTTCCATAACTTGGCTATTGTGAATAGCTGCATAAACATGGGTGTGCAGGTGCCTCTGGAGTAACCTGTGTCACAGTCTTTTGGGTATATCCCCAAGAGTGGTATTGCTGGATCAAATGGTAGATCACTGTTTAGCTTTTTAAGTAGCCTCCAAATTTTTTTCTAGAGTGGTTGTACTAGTTTACATTCCACCGCAGTGTAGACGGTTCCTTTTTCACATCCTCGCCAATACCTGTGGTTGGTGTTGTAATGATGGCTATTCTAACAGGGTGAGGTGGGAAATCTTAGTGTGGTTTTTCATTTGCATTTCCTTTATTGCTAGAATGGTGAGGCATTTTTTCATGTGTTTTTTTGGCCATTTGAATGTCCTTTTGAGAAAGTTCTGTTTAGTTCACTTGCCCATTTCTTTATTGGTTCATTAGTTTGGGAGAATTTAGTTTTTAAGTTCCCTAATATTCTGGTTATCGGTCCTTTGTCTGATGTGTAGCTGGCAAATATTTTCTCCCACTCTGGGTGTTCTCTTCAGTTTAGAGACCATTTCTTTTGATGAACAGAAGCTTTTTAGTTTTATGAAGTCCCATTTATCTATGCTATCTCTTAGTTGCTGTGCTGCTGGGGTTCCATTGACCCATAGTATTTTTTATGGTGTCCATGTAGAAAGATCATTGTTAAACTGTCCCAGTTATTTAAGATTGTTCTTAGGAGATAGTATTCATATTGATAAATGAAAGCAGGAATACATCTTCTTCAACACCAGGAGGCAACATTCATATTGTAGTGTATATAAATGTTGCATCCCTGGAGTTGTGCAATTTGACAGCCTTGCTCCAATGTAGTGTTACTGCCAGGCACCAGTGACTCATGCCTATAATCCTAGCTACTTGTGAGGCTGACGTTGAGAGGATCACAGTTCGAGGACAGCGGACGAGATACATAGTTGTTTAGATCCCCATCTCTAAAAGAATAACCAGAGCACAAGTGAGACGGAGATTGTGACTCAAAGTATTGTTACTAAAAACTGATTATGACTATCTTGGGGTATTATTTCTACAATAACAAAAATGTATTTTATGTGCTTAGCATAATACTCCAGGCCCTGGGAAGCCACTTTAATACTAGTGTAAATGAGATCATTTTACCATTAGTGATAACCAGCATACTAAACCAGGAAAACCACTGGTTTCTGAGCTTTCTGAGACACTTTTCTCATCAAGTAAATGGAGACCTTTCTTATTTATTTACTTATTTACTTTCTTTTTTGTTTTTGTTTTTTTGGTTGGTTGGGGTTTTTTTTTTTTTTTTTTTTTTTTTTTTGGTAATACTAGAAATCAAACCCCTAGCCGTTTACTAAGCAAATGCTCTACCACTGAGTCTTTTTTTTTTTTTTTAAATGAAATTTTTATTTTTTAAATGTATTTGACAGGGTCTCATTAGGTAACCCAGGCTGGCTTCAAATCCATTCTGTAGCCTAGGGTGGCCTCAAACTCATTTTCCTGCTCACTTTCCCAAGTGCTAGGAATACAAGTATGTATTCTTTCTTTCATGAACTAGACATGCAAAAGTAGGGATTATTTTTCCAAGAACATAAGCCTCTTAGAATAGTTATCTTGCTTAGTAAATATATTTTGAATGATTGAATCCCTAAGGATTGTTGTTTATGTGTAAAATTCCTGGACTTTTGTGTAAAGTTACTGGACTTTTTTCTGAGTATGATATTGGCAATGCTTTGCTAATAAATACTCTTATAGAAAAGTCTCTAGTATCTTTCTGCTACTCAGTATGAAGCTTGACAAATATATCTCAAAACTTTTGTTACCAGATTGATGAGGTCCTGAGACAGGAAGACAAAGCTGAAGCTATGTCTGGCCACATTGATCAGTTTCTGATAGCCACATTCATGCAGCTAAGGCTTATCTACAACACACATATGGCAGATGAGAAATTGGAGAAGGATGAGATCATCAAGTTGTACAGCTGTATCATTGGCAACATGATTTCGGTAAGACACCTCTACAGAACTGGAGTTTCCTTTTGAATTCTACTCCTACCTGGGTTCTCAAGCCAGAGTCAGTGCAGATGTTCCAGTGAGTCCTATGTCACTTGGTAGAATTCTTCATGCATCATACAGTAATCTGCCAATTACTTCTATTGGATGTGGGGTATTTCTGAAAGCTTACCTATCATTAGGATAAAAAGTAGAATACTTACCTGCTACCTAGCCTAGAATGCTTCTTGCCAAGTTCTTCATTAGATATTGTAGGCCCTATTTGACTTTTCACAGATAAGTGTGCTCACATTAAAAAATACTATTATAATAGGAAGGAAACACACCAGTTAATTCTGGCTATTACTAAATTTGATTTAAACTAATACTATAATCTTAAAAATATAATACATTTTTGCCAGGCATGGTAGCATATGCCTGTAATCTCAACATGGGAGGTTGAGGCAGGAGTATTATAAATTCCAGACCAACGTGAGCTATATAGCAAGATCCTGTTTCAAAAAAATACATACAATATATGTTCTGTATATTGAGTTTTAACCTCGCTAACACAGTTAGGACTGCATAGCTATTTCAGATAGAGAGCCTGGCCCGGGAGGCCTCCACAGGAGTACTGAAAGATTTGATGCATGGCCTCATCACCTTAATGCTGGATTCTCGAATTGAAGATCTAGAGGAAGGACAACAGGTGATTCGCTCTGTGAACCTCTTGGTGGTGAAAGTTCTGGAGAAGTCAGACCAGACCAACATCCTGAGGTACATTTGTATTTTCAGTAGAGTCTGGAAAGCCTTTTTTTTTATCTGCAGTAGAGTCACTAGATCAGTTGTAACTTTAGGTTTGCCTAATAAGTTGGTTTATTGTTCTTCTGCATGAACCAAAGACATTCCATCCTAAGACAACAATTAAAACCAGTGACAACCCAGGAAGCCAACCAAAACCATGAGTTTTCTAGAGAGTACTATAAAATGTGATCAGCTACATCTTCTAGCATGTACATTTTGGGTATACTTCTCCTTGTCTACCAATGACAGTGAAAAGTAGTGACAAAGTTTACCATTTATCAGTTGAGAAGAGTTAAATTTCAACGATTTAAAAAGATTTTTAATAACCAAATATTAAGTAATCTAAGATCCTCATCCATCAGTTCTCAACTTACTAGACCCTTCAATTAATAGTTTTAATTAAAAATGAGAGTTATTAATGAATGAATGAAATTTATTAGTATTATTGTGTTGGTGTCTTTGTTTTTCTAGTGCGCTACTTGTTTTGCTCCAAGACAGCCTGCTAGCAACAGCCAGTTCTCCTAAATTCTCAGAACTTGTTATGAAGGTAAAGTTGAAATGATTTCATCTCTTTTCTTTTCAGTGATGCAGTCACTTTGTTAAAGTATAGGGAAAGAGTACACACCTATAATTCCAGGACTCAGGAGGCACAGGCAAGAGGATCATGAGTTAAAGGCCAGCCTGGAGTAGACAATGAGACCCTATCTCCAATGTGTGTGTATGTGTAATTAGTCTTTAATTTTCTCTTCTTCCTCTGAGTGTGGGGGGCTCATGCCTATAATCCCAGCTACTCAAGAAGCAGAGATTGGGAAGATCTGAGTTCGAGGCCAGCCCAAGTACAAAGATAGTGATACCCCTATCTCAACCAAAATGCCTGCATGCACTTATCATCCCAGCTACTTGAGAGGCTGTAGGTTAGAGAATTGCATTACAAGGCCAATCCCAGGAAAAAGTAAGACCCTTCCTGGAAAGTAACCTAAAGCAAAAAAGGGTAGGAGGTATGGCTCAAATGATACAGTGCTTGCTAGGCAAGTGAGAGGCCCTAAATTCAAACCCCAGTACTTCCAATAACAACAAAAAATTCCCCTTCCAATTTATATTAATCTTAGTCCAAAAATTCTTGTCCTTTACTGGGCCTCAGTGGATCACGTCTATAATCATAGCTATTTGGGAGGAAGAGATTAGGAGGATCGTGGTTCACAGCTAGCCTGGGCAAATAGTTCGTGAGACCCTATCTTGAAAGAACACAACACACACACAAAAAAATACTGCTTAAATGAAGTTAAAAAAAACAAACAAACTGGAAGTTCTGATTCAGATTGTCTAACTAAATCTAGTCTGAGGAGACAAAATATCTTTCACTACTTATAGTATAGTACAGAATTATAATGTGACAGATATGTTCATCTGGAGTCTTCCATGAAAGAGACTGAAACTATATGTATCTTTTTCCCTCCAAAAGTGAAATTTTTCTCATCCCTATTTGCCTTTTGATTCTAGGAGAGTCTACAAAAAAACCTTTTCCTTTTCATGATTTGAGGCCAAAAAAAAAATTTTTTTTTTTTCGGCAGTACTGCTGGTGTTTGAACTCAGGGTCTCATGTTTGCTAAGCAGGCACTGTATCCCTTGAGCCACATCTACAGTCCATTTTGCTCTGGTTATTTTGGAGATGGGGTCTCATGAACTGCTTACTCAGGCTGGCCTCAAACTGTAATCCTCCTGATCTCAGCCTCCCAAGCAGCTAGGATTATAGGTATGAGCCACCAGCACTTGGCTATTCCTGCACTTTCTTAATAATTTCCTCCTTATAGTTGCCCTTTTTCCTTTCCTACTTAACTAGATTTGGCTTTTCTATTTCAGGATCTTTTTGTGGTCCTTTGTTCAGTTTTAGCCTGGTGATAACCAACTTGCTTAGGTGAATGCCCCCATGGACACTTTATTCCATTAAATTTTTCCTGCTGTACCCATTCAATATAGATGTAAACCTAAACTATTTTACCATCTACTGTTCTTTATAGTGTTCCTCACAACCTGAGCTTCATCATCCTTTGGAATATGCATACATACTTTACTTCTATCTCAACTTTTTGGCAAGAAGGGAAGACAATCTTTATGCAAATGTGGGAGGTGCATTGAACTGTCTTTTGTGGTTCTTGATTCCATCAGAAGTCACAAAAGGATTGAACTTCTTTCCACCTCTGCCACATTTGTAGAATTATGAAATGATGGCCCTATATCTGGGGAGTGGAGGGAAGAGTAGACATGGATGCTTAAATGGATGACTTGTCACACTTCAGTGAGTGACATGGTTGAAGTGATTAAAATTTCTCGTGTTTTAGCAGCTGAACTTCAGGGATATGATCCACATTTATATACCTGACTGTCTTTTAGAAGTGAGCCCTGAGCTTGGGAACAATGAATGGTGACGTTCTTCAGTCACTCCTAACTATTATATTTTTTTAATAGTGTCTCTGGAGAATGGTTCGACTATTGCCCGACACCATCAACAGCATTAACCTGGACAGAATTCTTCTGGACATCCACATTTTCATGAAGGTCTTCCCCAAGGAGAAACTGAAGCAATGCAAAAGTGAATTTCCCATAAGGACCCTAAAGACCCTGCTGCACACATTATGCAAATTAAAAGGACCCAAAGTGAGTGAGAATAGCATCTAGTCCCTGTGGGAGCTTGAGAGAATGTCATAGAAAGGGCATTGCTACTGTTTAAATGTGCTCATCTCCCTCAGATCCTAGACCATCTCACAATGATTGACAACAAGAATGAATCTGAGCTGGAGGCCCACCTCTGCCGCATGATGAAGCACAGTATGGACCAGACCAGTAGCAAGTCTGATAAGGAGACAGAAAAGGGAGCTTCGCGAATAGTGAGTGGCCTTCATCACTCTCCTCTCTTATGATCATTGCCACTCTAAAATTTTAAGACAAAAACTAATAGCCATGTGCTTTTTAGTCCCCAGGAAAGGTTTCTATGTGCCCAAAGTATCCATTGGTCACTAAGTAAATCCACTGTGACCTCTGTTTAATTGGGAAATTATTTTTTCATCAAGTTGTGGTGAAAACCTAAAACTGGAGGCATTCATATTCCAGAATGTTAGTGTTATTGCTGTAGACTCTGCTCAGTGGTGCCTCCTTTATCTACAGAGCATAGCAGTACAGTTAGATTTTGAGATATTTTCTGTTCATATCCTAATTAAGTATTCAAGTCTAACCATTCTGCCCTTGTGTCTTTCACTTTTTCAGGATGAAAAATCATCAAAAGCCAAAGTGAATGATTTCTTAGCAGAGATTTTTAAGAAGATTGGCTCCAAAGAGAACACTAAGGAGGTGAGAGTGAAGGGTTAAAACAAATGGGAACAAATGGGAGGGGGAGGGTGAAGGAAGGAGATTAAGGTGACGTTATGTGGTAGATGGACTTCATATACCTATTGAAGCAGAACCAAGAAATCTCTTGGCATTGTTTTAAGTGAGGTGGGGAGGGCGTTGAGGGGGAGAGATGAGGGGAACCATGTAATTAATGTGCAGTATAAGTCTGATTGGAATTGTCACTATGAATCCTCCACCTGTATAATAAATATATTCTAATAAAAAATTTATTTTAAAAAATGGGTAACTATTTTGTGGAAAAGGAGCACTAACTTACATCCATCCCCACTTCTTTTTTTGTACTCAACAGGGCCTAGCAGAGTTATATGAATATAAAAAGAAATACTCAGATGCCGACATTGAACCATTTTTGAAAAATTCCTCACAATTCTTTCAGAGTTATGTTGAAAGAGGACTTCGGGTGATTGAGATGGAGAGGGAGGGTAAAGGCCGTATTCCCACTTCAACAGGTATGGTTTTCAGGAATAAGCTTAAAATAGCTGCCAACTTGTAAACTGCGAAAGTAAAAACTAATGAGCTCCTGTATTCTCTCCATCTTGGTCAATGACAACTTTATCCTTCTAGTTTAGTTAGACCCAAAGCAGCTGGTGGTGGGACTCAAGTGGTAAGAGTACCTGCCTAGCAAACATGAGGCCCTGAGTTCAAACCGCTGTGGTGCTGGTGCCAAAAAAACAGAGAGAGCAAGTACTTAGACCAAAAGCTTTTGTCTTCTCTTCCTATGTCAGGAAATCTTTTTGATTCTATTTGCAAACCATGTGCAGGATCACCTTTACTCTGCCGCCTTGGTGGGAAACAACACTCTCTCTCACCTGAATTACAGTAGCACTACCCTCCTAACAGACCTCCTGTTGCCACCCTTGTCTCCCCATATTCATTTCCACACATTCCATCAGAACAAGGCTCCTCAAACACTCACCAGAAGCCTGTACTCAGCAAGAGCAGTTCTCACAAAGGTCTCTAACTTCTGCACTGTCTGATCCCCTGATACCTGTGGGGCCTCATCTACTGCTTGCCAATCTCAGCAGCCCCCTTGCTGTTTCTGGAACACACAGGCATGTTGTCTCTTAAGGCCTTTACCCTGACTTTTTCTTTTCTTTTTTTTTTTTTTTCTTCAGTTCTGGGAATTGAACCCAGGGCCTCGAGCATATTAAGCACACCCTCTACCACTGAGCTACACTCCCAGTACTAACTGGCTATTTCTTATTTTCTTATGCATGCAGTGCTCTTCCTGAGATGACTTGTTGGCTAGCTCCCTTTCCTCTTTTAGATCTGTGTTTAAATACTACCATCTAAATGAGAACTTTTTTAAAAATTGTACCATAGCACTTCCTCTAACAGAACATATGATATAGTATTTATTAGGTTGGTCATTGGTGTCTGTCTGTTCCTGGTAGAATTTCAAATCCACAGGGGAAGGATTTTTTATTTGTTTTGTTAGGCATCCAGGAGTATGGTTTGAATGAGTACCTGTCCTAAGTTCAAGCTGAAATGTTACTGTCCCTACGATGAAAAAAAATCACTCTGAGAATTACTGCCTACAGAATCTAGAAACAAAAGGAAGTCGTTGGAGATTTCAGTTATAAAAAATATTTGTCATAGCCTTAAACCAAAGATAGACACAACTGCAGAAATTACTCTCGTCAGGGCAGAACAGAGCTCTCATATTTGTCCTGTGTTTAGTGTTTTCCAATTTCAGTGAAGCTCAGCTATTTCAATCCACAGTTTGCCTGTCACAGTCTGCTTCTTTGTGGGTTTCAAATTCTAGTTCTTTCTCAGCATGTATCTTGCTCAGCTGAAGCTACTGTTCTATTGTTCTGTTAACCAGTTGGGTTTGCCTTGTTTTTGACACCTTCAGTTATCCCTCTCAAAGAACTTTGGAGTCCTTACTGAAGGGTGGTAAACAGGATGTCACACAGTGTGCACATATGAATATATCATGGTTTGATTGATCACAGTAGGGCCTCCTTTTCTCATTCCCTTACTGGTGATATCCTTACTGGTGATATTCAATATTTGATTGATATTTTTGGCAGCACATTTGCTCCAAGTTCAGTTTGGTTGGTTTTGGGGTATGATTTGGTTGGTTTTGGGGTTTGATTTGGTTGGTTTGGGGGTATGAGGTAAACACATTTGCAACACCAGCATACAATACCATTGATTACTGATTGGTTTCATGTGTAAGTATTCATATATGTCTTATTACTGAACTTATGTCATTTTTTCAATTTATTAGAGGGTTCTCATCTTTTTTTTTTTTTTCCTCTGTACTGGGGCTTAAACTCAGGGCCTCCACCTTGAGCCACTCCACCAGCCCTTTTTTGTGATGGTTTTTTTTTTTTTTTTGAGACAGTCTCACAAACTATTTGCCAGGGCTGGCTTCAAACCATGATCCTCCTGATCTCTGCCTCCTGAATTGCTAGAATTATAAGCGTGAGCCACCCACACCCAGCCCCGAGTGTTCTCCATCTTTGAAGAATTCCTTCTTCCCTATTTTACATTTTTTTTCTCCTATTGCCTTTAAGTCAAGTGACGTTTTTTGTTTTGGTTTGTGGTGCTGGAGATGGAACCCAGGAACCCAGGGCCTTGTTCATGTGAGCCAAACACTGTACTGTTGAGCTATATCCTCCAGCCCCAAAAGTTAGGTATTTTAAATGCTTGCATTTTTATGATTGTTCCTTCACAGAAACTTAGGAATTGAGGTAGATTTTTGGAGGGGTTTTGGTTTAGTTTTTGTTTTGTCCCTTTCCTCCCAGAATACTGAGCTGAGTGACAAGGTCATTGGTACACTAGTGCCTGTCCCTTTTTGCATGCTGCTGAGCACCTCAGCTCCCCTCTGCTCCCCATGAATGCCCTAGTTCTTGAACTTCTTGTTGTCCTGTATTGGTTTGTGTGTGATTTTTTTTTTTAATTTCAAAACAATTTTCTATTTATATAGAAAATTAAGAGAAAATTTGTATATTAGAATTTTTCATGGTATTTGTTATTGGAAAGTCAGTGCAGCTATCCCAATTCTTGCGTCTGCAAGAGAAGAATTCAGGCAAGATGCAGAAATATAGTGAAAGTGGTAGCAAAGTTCATTAGGAAAGGAATATACTTTCTCTTTGTTGTTTTGTTTTGTCAGTACTGGAGTTTGAACTCAGGGCTTCATGTTTGCAAGGCAACTGCTCTACACTTGAACACACCTTCAGATGACTGAAAGTGGGTCATCTCTAGGATGAAAATGACAACATATTAAGTTTATTAGAATGGAAATACTTTCATGGGTGATAGTGGGTCATTGCAGAAAAAGAGGTCAAGAATGACCATAGGTTTCCCTGTTTCTCACCTGCTCCAAACCTTATCTATGTTCTACATATTTAAGGTCTTCAAGTTTTTCAGTTGGGCACTTACAGTATACTCCAGGAGTAGCTTAGGTGTTTTGGATTGCCCAAATCAAAAACCCTGTGATTTACTAGAATACAACCCTTGTGTACTCAGGTTATAGATGGACAGTCCAACTCATATTCCACCTTCAGTATCAGTTCTTGAAGTTCTCATGAAGTTTATCTTACATATTTGAGAGTACTATGTATCACTAACTCCAGGTGAATTCTGAACTTTTTAGTTTTCAAGTACACTAGAGAATATGCAAGTCCCTAGAAATTTTTATTTGTTTGCTGCTGGAGATTAAAACTATGGTTTATGTCTATACTCCCAAAAGTAATCCACATGTTTAATGCAATTCCCTCAAAATCCCAATGACATTTATTAAAGAGATTGAAAAATCTATCATTAAATTTATATGGAAACACAAGAGGCCACGAATAGCCAAGGCAATACTCAGTCAAAAGAACAGTGCTGGAGGTATCACGATACCCAACTCCAAACTATATTACAAAGCAATAACAATAAAAACAGCATGGTACTGGCACAAAAACAGACATGAAAACCAGTGGAACAGAATAGAGGACCCAGATATGAAGCCACACAACTATAACCAACTTGTCTTTGACAGAGGTGCTAAAAATATACGATGGAGAAAAGACAGCCTCTTCAGCAAAAACTGCTGGGAAAACTGGTTAGCAGTCTGCAAAAAACTGAAACTAGATCCATGTATATCACCCTATACCAATATTAACTCAAAATGGATCAAGGATCTTAATATCAGACCCAAACTCTAAAGTTGGTACAGAAAAGAGTAGGAAATACTCTGGAATTAATAGGTATAGGCAAGAACTTTCTCAACAGAACCCCAGCGGCTCAGAAACTAAGAGATAGCATAGATAAATGGACTTCATAAAACTAAAAAGCTTCTGCTCAAGAAAAGAAATGGTCTCTAAACTGAAGAGACCACCCACAAAATGGGAGAAAATATTTGCCAGCTACACATCAGACAAAGGACTGATAACCAGAATATATAGGGAACTCAAAAAACTAAATTCTCCCAAAATTAATGAACCAATAAAGAAATGTGCAAGTGACCTAAACAGAACTTTCTCAAAAGAAGAAATTCAAATGGCCAAGAAACACATGAAAAAATGCTCACCATCACTAGCAATAAAGGAAATGCAAATTAAACAGATTCCACCTCACCCCTGTTAGAATAGCCATCATTAGCAACACCACTAACAACAGGTGTTGGTGAGGATGTGGGGAAAAAGGAACCTTTATACACTGCTGGTGAGAATGTAAACTAGTACACCCACTAGTGTACTAGTGTAGGCTACTTAAAAATCTAAACATTGATCTACCATATGATCCAGCAATACCACTCTTGGGGTATTGCTTTTGGTATTGTCACCCAAAAGACTGTGACACAGGTTACTCCAGAGGCACCTGCACACCCATGTTTATTGCAGCACTATTCACAATAGCCAAGTTATGGAAACAGCCAAGATGCCCCACCACTGACGAACGGATTAAGAAAATGTGGTATTTATACACAATGGAATTTTATGCAGCCATGAAGAAGAACGAAATGTATCATTTACAGGTAAATGGATGCAACAGGAGAACATCATTCTGAGTGAGGTTAGCCTGGCCCAAAAGACCAAAAATCGTATGTTCTCCCTCATATACGGACATTAGATCAAGGGCAAACCCAATAAGGGGATTGGACTCTGATCACATGATAAAGCAAGAGTACACAAAGAAGGTATGAGGATAGGTAAGACACCCAAAAAACTAGATAGCATTTGTTTAGTTCCTCAACGCAGAGAAACTAAAGCAGATACTTTAAAACAACTGAGGCCAAAAGGAGAAAGGGACCAGAAACTAGAGAAAAGGTTATTCGAGAAGAATTAACTTAGACGGTAACACACGTGTACAGGAAATCAATGCTTGTCAACTCCCTGTATAGCTATCCTCATCTCAACTAGCAAAAACCCTTGGTCCTTCCTATTATTGCTTATCCTCTCTCTTTAACAAAATTAGAGACAAGGGCAGAATAGTTTCTGCCGGGTAGCGAGGGGTAAGGGGGGGTAAGGGGGGGAGCGGAGGCGGGGGGGAGGCGGTAAAGGAGGGGTCGAGGGGAAGGGAGGAGAAATGACCCAAACATTGTATGTACATATGAATAAAATAAAAATTAAAAAAAAAAAAAACTATGGTTTATGCCGCTAAACATGTACTCTGTCTATTACTACCCTACTCCAACCCTGGGAACTTAGAGTTTTTTGTTTTTTGGGGTTTTTTGGCAGGAATAGAGGTTGAACTCAGGGCTTTGCATTTGCAAAGCAGGCACTCTACTGCTTGAGCTCCAATTCATTTTGCTTTGGTTATTTTGGAGATGGAATCTCGTGAGCTATTTGCCTTTGAACTGCAGTCCTTCCAATCTCAATCCCAAGTAGCTAGGATTATAGGCAAGAGCCACTGGCATCTGGCTTAAAATTCTTAATTGTTCTCAGTGGCAGATTAATCAAGGCAGTCTGGAAGTGTGGGGTATGTGTATATCTGAACATTCTTTCTACATTTTCCTCTCTAGGCATCTCCCCTCAGGTGGAGGTCGCATGTGTGCCCACCCCCACAAGCACAGTATCCTCCATAGGCAATACTAATGGAGAAGAGGTAGGACCATCTGTCTATCTGGAAAGGCTAAAAATCCTCCGACAGCGATGTGGTCTGGACAACACAAAGGTACTGCTCCTTTCCTTCTGTGTGGGTTTGGAGGGCAGTGACAAGCAAGTCAGGAACAGGTGTTCCACAGAGAAGTGACTCAGCTCTGGTGTACATTGCTACAGAATTGTATCTTGACCTGCTTCCCCTGAGCTTAGGCAGTGTCTCCTCTTCTCTCAATAGCAGGATGACCGACCTCCACTGACCTCTTTGCTCTCCAAACCATCAATTCCTCCGGTCGCCTCTTCCACAGACATGCTCCACAGCAAGCTCTCCCAGCTGCGGGAGTCGCGAGAGCAGCACCAGCACACAGATATGGATTCCAACCAGACCCACTCTGCAGGAACTGTGACCTCCTCCTCCTCCTCCACAACTAATATTGACGACTTGAAAAAGAGACTGGAGAGAATAAAGAGCAGTCGCAAATGAAGCTGCCCATCCCCCAGAACCCTGCAGCTTTAGTTTACTAAACTAGAATTCCTATAGTGTGAAGTGGCCAAGGCAGGCCTAGTGTACACAAACTGGTTGTAAGTATCTGACTGTGGATGGGGTTGGAGCAGTAGCGGCACAGGTCTGTATGTGCTCTGCTTTTCCCCATTGGCAACCACCTCTAGAAGACTGTCTGTGGATTAGGTTAGTGTACAGACTTTTAAACAGCTGCCCCCTCAGCTCAGACTAGGTTCCATATCCTTTTTCTTTTGTTTTATTTTTAATTGCTCATTTGTAAAATTGTCCTAATCTTTCCTATCTTTTAACTATTAGAAACTCTTTAATAGTTTTCCTTTGAGTTTGTGAGATCTTCTCTCTGTAGCCCTGAAGGGTCACTGTATTCTGTATGAATGCATGGCATGAAACAACTAATTTAAGAGTCTTTTATAAATAAAGTTTGCATTAACTATACCTGTCTCCCAAGATGCTCCATATCTGCGATTGCTGGGCAGCTCTTTCTGTCACCGGTTTGAGGACAAGCTGGGTATTCAGCCAGTTAAAGGTTCATTACTGCCTGATGAGCTCTACCTTTTCTTGACTCCCAGACTTCAAGCCATCTGTTACTCCTTTGGAATGGGAGGAGTTCACCTTTCCTGCTTTTCACATGAAGCTCCTAGGAGAGCAGAGAAATCTTATCTCCTTCCTCATTTTGAGGTCTTGGTAATGGCTTCCCTCCAGTCATCTCCAGTGGTTCCAAGGAGCTCTTAGGCATCCTATCTCTTCGCTGCCCAAATTACATGACTGCACCCAAGCATTGGCTGGGCTACAGTGGTTCCCACACTATAACTGGATTGGGGAGAACTTAGTCATTTCCTTTTTGTCTACAGTAACAGCTGCTTTTGAACCTGGTCTGAGTGAGGTCCAGAATATGAACTGAAAATTCACCTCTGGAATAAATTCCACAGAACTCGACACAGTCAGAAAAACTCTTCAGGACTAAGAGGTTCTGGATTCCAGGGAAGACTTAGGTAAATCATAAAGCTCAAAGGAATTTTCTCTTATATCCCACCTTCTACTCATCTTGTGTTCAAGAAGTGAAACATCGATGGAAAATGAATCCTCTCTTGGTTTTTCATCATATGAATCCTCTATTTGTTCCAGTCATCATTTTCAAGTGGCCCCTAGGCTGCCTAAAATTATCCTTGCTTTTCTCCCTCCATAGGGGGAGCATGGAAGGCAGTAATTATTCACCCCAGGGAAGATGGATTCATTGCTGTAAGAGGACGCACTCGGGTGACTGACAGTGGTTCCTACACAACTGGATTCAAGATCATACGCATACTTCACATGCATTATTTGACTGCACTTGGGTCTAGAATTACCACAGTTCATTTGAAAACCCCAAGTGCCCAAAATTTAAAACACTGACAGCAATGATGAGATGTGAGAATGTGTGTCCTTGTTTAAAAAACAAGTTCTGGGTATTCATTGTTAATCACTTCCCCCTTAAAACTCTGGGTAGCAGAAATAGGCAAACTCATTGAAAGTTGCATCCTATTTTTATACTGCTTTCTGGTCAACTAGAACCAAGAAATAACACAGGGAACTGTATCTTAATTCTCTATTGCCTTATGTATTGAATAGTAAGAGGAAATGCTGGGTATGGTGATATACACCTGTAATTCCACCACTGAAGAGGCTGAAGCCAGCCTGGGTTACATAATGAGATCCTATCTCCAAAAGGGAGACAAAGGAAAAAGAATGTGGGGAAGAAGGGGTTAGAGATAGCTACCCCTTCATGTTAATCAAAGAGCCTAAGCTGAGAACAGTAACCACATGGCACCTGTGCTTCTTTCCCCTGTCTTATACCCTAGGCAGATATGATATTCAGTCCTCCCTCCTCCCTTGGAACTCAGGGAAGGGTCTTCTCAACACAGTCCTCCAGATAAAATCAACTGATGAGCATTTCACATCAGCTGAAACTCACTGTCATATATATGTATATATATATATATATGTCATATTTTATATATATATATAAAATAACTATCCCAATAGGAACAGTTTCATAATAATGTAGAGCTTAGGAACTTAGTGGAGCTATGTGGAGAGGCAACAGTGGGTCAGTGCCATATTCCATCCCATATCACCAACCTCTGCCAATAATAATCTTGAAGACTGTACTATAATCCTATGTGCTGTAACATCTATAATCCTAGCTACTTGGGAGGCTGAGGTCAGAAGGATCAAGGTTCAAGGCCAATCCAGGCAAATGATTCATGAGACATGCCCCCTCCCTCCAATCTCCAAAATAACCAGAGCAAAATGGACTGGAGGTGTGGCTCAAGTGGTAGAGCACCTGCTTTGCACACGTGAAGACCTGAATTCAAAAAACTCCAGTCCCATCAAAAACATTTTTAAAAAGAATGTGCTGTAATGAGACATCTTTACAGTCCTATGACAGTATTTTTTAAACTTGCAAAGCCTTTTACAAGTCCATTTACATGCCCTCTAGACCCTACTTCTCAGCAAAACTACTCTGAGAAGCAACACCACCCCCCATATGCTGCTTGTGGGGACCAAAGGAGGGAGTAGGTGACCAGCAAAGGAACTTTAAACATGCTAGACTGGATGCCCAGTCCAGTTGGCAAGCAGTAGTGGGAGTACAAGTGGCATTGACTTATGGAGAGCTTACTGAGAAGCAGGCACTATGCTAATTACACTATGCAAGTCATTTAATCCTGACAACCTTATGTCATTATATACGTCTTTTAAATTATGAAGAAACCGAGGCTCAGGAGGTCTGGTATCTTGACCCTTCTAAAGTTGGAGCCAGAATATAAGCCCAAATGGTCATGCTAGGAACCTATACACTTGGCTTCTTGGGGTCATAAATCTGCCATTAATGACATAAGGAAGGATGTAGGGTCTTATCAGAGAAGTTAGATACTCTTGCCTCTCCTCTGGTCCTAGGACGAGTTCTTTACAGCCCTGACAGCAGAGCGACTAGAAGCACAGCCGCCTCATCTTCTCATTGTTTCAAGTCCTACTTTTCCTTTTCTTAGGTGTATAATTTTGGACAAACTATTCCAAGTCTATTTATTTACCAACCTCTTGTAAGGATAGTACGTACCTGTTGTGATGATTAAATAAGATAATCCATTAAAGCCTGGGTTGCAGAACATTTTTAAATGCTCATAAATTCAACCTATCCTCTCCCTCTCTGGAGATGACGGATTTTTGGAAGTCCTGTTTATCCATCAGTATTATTGGCTCTTTCTGAGCCCAGTCCACAGAGTTGCCCATGAACAGCACTAGGAGCACTGAGGCTCATTGGCAGAGTCACTTTTATTGGGAACTATTATTTTAGAAACAAACCACAAAAAATAATTCCTTCACTGGATTGATTTCTGTGATTTTGCAATGAGGAGCCCATAATGCAAGTGGCCCCTATCCAAACCGCTCAGTGACCTTCTGTATCCACTTCTTCAGGCGGAACACGTGTGTGTAGAAGCCATATTTCCCATTTCGATCACAGCCTTCACCCCATGAGACAATGCCCATTTGATACCAGCGGTTGTTGTAGGGACTCTGAAAAAGAAAGATAGTGTTTTTTTCAGTAGTCAAGTTCAAGTAGTGTCAGTCTTACCCTGCCAGGGAACTATTTCTGAAAACTCGGGTTCCTCCTCACCCAACCCTCCCCATTCCTGGCCTTTAGAGAAGCTTACCTTCATGACAAATGGTCCCCCACTGTCACCTTCACAAGCATCCCCTCGCATCCCTTCATCGACCTTGAAACCTTGAGAGAGAACAGCGGTGCTCAGGAGCCACTCCCCTTCCAGAGCCCTACATGTATCCATGTGACCTGGTCATCCTAGAACTTATTTTCCTCACCACACAAATGTAGTTCTCTAGCAGATTTTTGGCTCTGTCTTCCAATATATAATTCAAATCCAACTATTTCCACCTCTGGTCAAGTCACCTACACTCCCCATACCAGTTTTCCTATTTTCTTCTCACAGTCCATTCTTCACCAAATAGGGAGAATGACTTTTTTTTTTTCTGAGGGGGGGGGATATGGAAGAATAGTATTGGGGTTTGAATTCAGAGAATGACTCTTAAAAAGCAAATTAGAAGGCTTCAAGTGATAGAGCACCTGCCCTGCTTAGCAAGCACAAACCCTAGTCCAAGAAAACAAGGAAAATCAAGTTAGATTTGCAGGGAGCTGAGGATATTGACAATCCTATTAATCCAAAACTCCCCACATATCCTCCACAAACAATGCAGAAAATAAAAATAACTACACACCAAAACTACCTTCAACATAGGTAGAATACAGGAACACCCAGACTTCAACTAAAATGTGTGTAGAGATGAGGATGGAAAAATATATATATATGCTGATAGAAGAAGCAGGCAGAATCAAATTAGGAATCTTATAATCTCAAGTATACAAACAGATGAAAACTAAGTAGACCCACAGAAAGATACTATAGGAAAACAAAATAAGAATTAAAAGACCTCCAGTAATAACACTGTCTCCCAAAACACAACTACAAAACAGAAGAAAACTGTATTTGAATTATATATCCTTAAGTAAACCTGTGTGAAAAAACACCTTGACTAAAAATTGAAAATGGACGGGTGCCAGTAGGTCACGCCTGTAATCCTCGCTACTCAGGAACAGAGATCAAGAGAATTGAGCTTCAAAGCCAGCCCAGGCAAATAATTCACAAAAAAAAAAAAAAATCACAAGAAAAGGACTGGTGGAGTGGCTCAAGTGGTAGAGCTCCTTTCTAGCAAGTGGGAGGCCCTGAGTTCAATCTCCAGTGACACACACACAAAAAAACCTACTGAACAATTTTTAGATGAAAGGGCAATACAAACTGAGAATTTTTTGAAATACAGAGGAAAATGCATAGCACTAAAAAGAAAGGTGGTAAACTTTTCAGCTCAAAAAGCCAGCAAGGCTAGGAGTACACTTCAGTGGTAGAGTGCTTGCCTTGCATTCCAAGGCCTAGGAGACTGAGGCCCAGCATCACAATGGTTTAAAAAAAAAAAAAAAAGGAAAACGACAAATCTAATTTAACAAGTCAAATTCTTAGATTTTTTTTTTTTTTCCTACCCCATGTCTTCCCACTCACAAATATAGACCAGGCACAGGGCCTGGGCTGAGGTGTATGTGGGGTAGGTATATTTTCCCTCCTCTTTCTACAGAGTCAGTGTAAGAACACAGCCTGTGGTAAGCACCAGGAGACTAGATACCAGCTGTGTTTGTAAAACTGGCAAACCACTAGCTATTTATTCAAAAATAAGGGGGAAAGCCAGGTGCCAGTGGCTCACATCTATAATCCTAGCTACTTGGGAGACTTGAGATTGTTAGGATCGAGGTTTGAGGGCAACCTGAGCAAACAGTTGGTGAGACCCCCATCTCCAAAACAACCTGAGCAAAAATGGACTGGATGTGTCTCAAGTGGTAGAGTACCTGCAGTGCTGGGGTTGAGAAGACATTTTTTTATCTTTGGATGGAATAAACACCAAAAAGATGTCAGTTCTACCTAAATTAATTTATACCTGCCCTTTTTTTTTTTCTGGTGGTACTGAGGTTTGAACTCAGAGCCTCACGCTTGGAAGGCAGGCACTCTATCACTTGAGATACCCTACCAACCCCTAAATTAATTTATAAATGTAACATAATCCAAACAAAAATACTAGCAAGCTTTTTTTTATGGAGATGAAAAGTTGACATGAAATTTAGCATACTAAACTGGCCATAGATTCATATGGAAAAACAAATTTGCAAGAATTTCCAGGAAAACTGGAAACAAGTAAGATTAGCCCTATCAGACGCTGCATGCATCCAAACCTCTCACAGTGCTGTGGGGCTGCCGCTGGGGCTCAGCAGCAGAGCGCTTGCCTAACATGACCCTGGTTTAATCCCCAGCACAGCAAAACCAAAAAATGTGTGAGGGCAGGAGTAGACAACGGCACAGCGGGACTGAACAGAATGTCCAGAAACATAGGTGAGCACACATAGAAACCAAGAGTGTGATAAAGAAATCTCAAATCACTGGAGCAAAGTGGAATTTGGAATAAATGGTGTAGTGATGGCTGCTTGGTTATTTTAGAAAAGATAGCTTAGATCCATACCTCACACCATACACAAAAATAAATGGGATCCTTCAGGGATCTAAGGGTATAAAACTGAAACCAGGTTCTAGAAGGAACCCAGTGAACTCCTCTGTGACTTGGTGCAAGGAAAAACTGTTTTTGTTTGTTTGCTTGTTGCCAGGCTGGGGATCGAACCCAGGTTCTCATAAATGCTAAGCAAGTACTCCACATCTTAGTAGAGGCTGACCTACATCTTCAGCCTAAAAATTTTTCTTAATTCCATGGCAAGTGTGTGTGTGTGTGTGTGTGGTGTGTGTGTGTGTGTGTGTGTGTGTGTGTGTGTGTGTGTGTGTGTGTGTGTGTGTGTGTGTGTACAGAAGTTTCTTTTAAATAAAAAAAAACCTGATAAACCAGTAGAAAATGTTTTGTGATATACATCCCAAATAAAGGCCACCTCACAAATCTCACAAAGAACTTACATACAGATAGGCAGGGGAGAGCAGCTTGTGCTGTCTAGATGATGTTGCCTGCCATTTTATGACACGGCAAGAAGGTTCTCACCATATACTGATACTGACCAGAGGTCCGTGCTAAGCTCTTGGACTTCCCAGCCTCCAGAACTATTGCCACATGTATTTGTCCTCTAGATTTTAATCAAAACATGACATGAGGGAAAACACAGAAGGAAGTGAGTCAGAGAAGTCTCAAAGAGCTGGTGTATCCCCAAGGCAAGCGAGGAAGAAAGGGAAGCTTGGATTGAACATCCTGTATTGCTATGAAGCACGGTGAAGTTTCAACAAGGGGAGCCACGGTGTCAAGACCCACCACCAGAAGAGGCCTGTGTCTCCCATGAACAGGTGTGCTTTTGTATCCCCACCACAAGTGTTAGCTGGGAACAGTCAGTGGGAGGTGTGGCCCCCAGCACAAATAACCACCCTGACACACACAATCTCATCTGATCTTGAAAGCTAAGCAGGGTTGGGCCTGGTTAATACTTGGATGGGAGAGCGCTAGGAATACCGGATTTCAAAGCCTACAGCTGGGACCTTTGACCATTTACGCCAAAGTCAGCCAGGCCTGTTTCCATGACTGCCACACCTGCTGCAAAGCTTCTTGGAGGATTGGTTGCTACTGGTTGTTTTTCCTTCTCTGTTTACTCACCTGTTGACACCAAATTTCTATAAAACCTGTCTTTTGCTATCTTACCAAATTTCCATATAATGTAGTGTGTGTTAAACAACTTAACTATCTTTGAAAATTCTTGGGGCTGGAGGCATGGCTTAAGTGGCAGAGCATTTGGCTAGAAAGCCCAAGGCCCTGAGTTCAAAACCCCAGTACCACCACAAAAATAAAAAAATCAAATAAATTGGTGAGCATCAGCTGGGCACTGGTGGCTCATGACTGTAATCCTAGCTACGCAGGAGGCAGAGATCAGGAGGATCAAAGTTCGAAGCTAGCTGGGGGAAATAGTTCATGAGACCCTATCTCAAAAAAAAAAAAAAATCACAAAAAAGGGCTTGTGGAGTGGCTCAAGGTATAGGCCTTGACTTCAAAAAAATACCGCCACAAAAAGAAAAAAAATATAAATATATACATATATATGAATAGTCTGGGGGTACAGCTAGTGGTGGAATGCTTGTCTAGCAACAAGACCCTGGGTTCAATCCTCAGTCCTGAAAAAATAACTTGCCAGTCACAGCGGTACACCGAGCACTCAGGAGGCAAAGACAGGAGGATTATAAATTCAAGGTCAGCCTGAGCTTCACAGCTAGACCCTACCCCATCTCAAAAACCAAGAGCTAAGGATGTAGCACTGGTAGAGGGCTTACCCAACAGCCACAAGGGATTGGGTCCAGTCATATATATTCAACTTCATTTGCAATTAGTAAAAGACAATTTTGGTTTTCTTTACAGTTACAGGGATTTGAGCTTTGCGCTTCATGCTTGCTAGGCAGGCCTTTACCCCTTGAACCATGCCACCAGTCCTGAAAAGGGCAAATTAGGTGGCTGACAGAGTAGCCTGACTTGCAAGCGTGAGGCCCTTGAGTGCAAACCTCAGTACTGACAAGAATAAAAGGCAACCTAAAACTGTTGAGCTGAGGCTTGTGGAGTGGTTCAAGTGACAGAGTGCCTGCTTTTCAAGTGTGAGGTCCTGAGTTCAAACCCCAGTACCACCAAAAAAAAAAAATCACAAATGAGATATTTGACATTATTATGGGCTGGAGGAGTGGCTCAAGCAGTAAAAGCAACTGCCTAGCAAGTTCGAGGCCAAGTTCAAACCACAATGCTCCCAAAAAAAAAAAAATTTTTTTTTTTGTTTAAAAACTGTGGAGTTTTTAAGTAATCCCACCATTTAGGAGGCTGGGGCAGGACAATCGCAACTTTGAGGCCAGCCTCAGTTACAAAGTAAGTCCCTGTCTCGAAAAAAAAAAAAAAAAAAAGGGCACTGGTGGGGCTGAGATCAGGAGGACTGAGGGTCAAGGCCAGCCTGGGCAAATAGTTTGAGAGACGCTATCTCCAAAATAACTGAGCCAAATGGACTGGCGGTGTGCCTCAAGTGGTGGAGCAACTGCTTTGCAAGCACTGAATTCAAACCCCAGTACCACAAAAAAAAAAAAAAAAAAAAAAAAAAAGTGGGTCACTAGTGGCTCAGGCTTATAATCCTAGCTACTTGGAAGGCTAAGATCAGAAGCACTGAGCTTCCAGGTCAGCTGAACAAAACCCCATCTCAACTAATAGCTGGGCAGTGTTATGTGCCTGTCATCCCAAGCCTGTAGGAGGCCGAGATGGGGAGGATAGCAGTTCCAGGCAAAAAAGTCAGCAAGTCCCCATCTCAGTGGAAAACTAGCTGGGTTTGGTGACATACCTGTCATCCCAAGTGCCAGGAAGAAGCTTAAAATAGGAGGATCAGAGGTGTGGCTTAAGTTGTAGAGTGCCTGCTTTGCAAGCAGGAAGCCCTGAGTTCAAACAAAGTCCCACCAAATAAATAAATAAACCATAATTTAAAAATAAATAGGAGGACTGCCACCCAAGCTGGTCTGTTCTGGGCAAAAAGTGAGACCCTATCTTCAAAAACAACCAGAGCAAAAAGGCTGGAGTTGTGGCTCAAGCAATAGAGTGCCTGCCTAACAAAAACAGAAACCTTGAGTTCAAAACCCAGTACTAAGCTGGGCACCAGTGGCTCATGCCTGTAATCCTAGCTACTCAGGAGGCAGAGATGAGGAGGATCATGGTTCAAAGCCAGCCCAGGAAAATAGTTAGCAAGACCCTATCTCAAAAAAACTCATCACTGAAAAGGGATGGTAGAGTGGCTCAAGGTGTAGGTCCTGAGTTCAAACTCCAGTATCCTGAAAAAAAAAAAACAACAAAACAAAACCCAGTACTGCCAAAAAAAAAAAAAACTGAAATGCTATTCTTCACTTCCCATATGGGGGAGATTAATAAGGATGACATTCTACTATGGGAAACAGTGATTCCCACGTACTCCCAAAGGAAATGCAAACTGGGCCAACCCTTCTGGAAAGAAATGTGGAAAATTGCTAACAAAAATCACATGTGTTTACCTCTTGACTTAGCAACACCAGCAATACTGGAAGACACACCTCCAGCGATATAAAAATACATATGCACGGTGGTTGATCTATGGTACATCACAGGCTGGGGTGCAGCTTAGTGGTAGAGCACTTGCCTAGAATGTGTGAGGCCCTCGGTTCCATCCCTAGCACTGCAAAATAGCTAACAATAATAATGAAAATAATAACTATTGCTATGGTACATCCATGTAATAAGAGTACACTATGACTATACAATTTTTTTTGGTGGCACTGGGGTTTGAACTCAGGGTCTAATGCTTGCTAGGTAGGTGCTCTGATCACTTGAGCCACTCTGCCAGACCCAAATTTTTTAATGAATAAGGAAAAACTATACCAAATATAATGCATTTCTAGGATATATTAAGTTTTAAAAAAGCAAAGTATTAAACTACTTTGTTTATACTCCATGTGTGTAAAGAAGAAGAAATAAGAAAATACACCTATGCCTGCACATTTGTGCAGAAAACACAGGAAGAAGAATAAGCCTCAAGCGATGTGAATGGTTAATTACAGGATAAGGATGGAAATAGAATGGAAGGGGAAAGAGATCAGGATAGGAAGAAGGGAGAGCGTCACTTCTCTGCGTGTGTGGTAACCATTTTAACAGGCTTGACTTCGACCATGTTAACCTCTCACTCAAAAACAACAAAGATGGAATGGATAAAACTGAATGCAAGCAGAAGCAAATGAACCTAATGGTATTCTAAAATAACACAGTGAAGGGGCGAGAATTAACCCAAGTTCTTTTTAAAAAAAAAAATTTACTTACTTTTTTTTGTGTTACTGAGGTTTGAACTCAGGGCTTCAGATTTTCCAGGAAGGCACTCTCGCACTTGAGCCACTCTGCCAGCCCTTTTTTGTTTTAGATGTTTTCCAGATAGGGTCTCTCGAACTATTTGCCTGAGCTGGCTTCAAACCATGATCCTCTTGATCTCTGCCTCCTGAGTAGCTGGGATTACAGGCGTGAGCCTCCAGATTGATTTCCTGGTTTTAATAATGCTACTATGGTTGCCAGACACTGGTGGCAAAACCCTATCTCGAAAAACCCTTCACAGAAATAAGGCTGGTGAAGTGACTCAAGATGAAGGCCCTGAGTTCAAGTCCCAGTACCACAAACGAAACAAAACAAATTAAAATAAAAAAATGCTACTATAGGGCTGGGGTGGAGCATGCATAAAGCCCTGGGTTTTGGTACTAGTAGCACACATAAAAATAAACAAATAAATTTTAAGCGGTACTGTGGCTATATCAGAGAATATCTTTAGTTTTTTATTTGTTTGTTTACCATTCAACTATTGCCAAGTTTGGTGGCTCACATCTGTAATTCCAGCTACTCAGGAAGAGCATAGTTCAAGACCAGCCCTGTCAAAACAAGCTGGGCGTGGTGGAACATGACTGTAATCTCAGCTACATGGCATAAGTAGGAGAAGGGTGGCCCAAGGCTGATGCCAGGCCAAAAAAGTAAAATCCTGTCTGAAAATTAAGGCAAAAAGGGCTAAGGGCATGGCTCAAGTGGTAGAGCGCCTACCTAGCAAGAGCAAGGCCCTCAGTTCAAATCCCATTACTGCCAAATAAATAAACAAACAAATAAATAAATAAATATTTGGGCTGTCGGAGTGGCTCAAGTGGTAGAGCGACTTTCTAGCAAGCATGAGGCCCTGAGTTCAAACTCTGGTTCCACCAAACAAAAAAACTAATGTGCTTCCAGGTGCTAAGGGAGGTATCCATCATCTCTCATCTCTCACCTCCTCCTCTGCTGCCCTGGCTGGATTCACTGTACTCCAGCCACATAGCCCTCTCTGCTGCTCCTGAGACCTCCCGAGCTCCCTCCTGCTTAGAGTCTACACACCTGCTGACCCCGCTGATGCCTTCCTCCACATGCCTAGCTCACTCCTGGACTTCTAGTGTCTACTCAAACATCACCTTCTCAGAAAGACCTTCTCCAACCCACTTGTCCCCCTCACTCTCTGTCAGGGATGATGTTCTAGATCTGATTACTGACATTCCCTCTTAGGAAGGAAGCACCTCAGGACTAGCTGCTGTGTACCCCCCAGATGCTGCCTGGAACATGGCAGGCACTCACAATATAATTGCAAGAGTCCCCACCCAGGACTCTTGGTGCTGAGCTCAGACAGATGAAACCCACACCAAATACCATGTGCACACTACCACATTTACCACTCGAGTAGCCTACAGCATGGTTTCCATTTTACAGAGGAAGGAACAGCCTCCACAAGGTTCAGCAACTTGCCCAACATCATCTGGCCTGTAAGTGCCTAGAGCCAGGAGCCCAGGTTTGTGCCTGTGACATGTCTCAAGGCTGCCCACCCTGTCCCTGCTGTTCCCCAGCCCCAGCAGTGCAGACTTGCCAGCACAGAACATGTTGTCGGTGATACGGATCCGGGTGGAGGCCTTGCACACTGGTCGTTCCACGATGGGCAGGTTCACCACCTGCAGGACATTGGGCTGCACCTCATTGATGCTGGTTGTCCACGTCTCCCTCAGGTTGCCCCAGCCTGTCACCCGCCCTTTGTATCCAGCCTGGAGCAAGCTTTGGGGAAGGAAGAAGGACCTGGTGAGAACCAAATCCCTCCAGGAGCCTCCTGGCCCCAACACCATTCCCCTAGAAACCAAAATCTAAAATATCAGCACACAAAAGAACTTTCTGAGTTCTCTCTGGCACATCTGCCAGGCCCCACAGCATCACAGCCAGGCCTAGGACTTGATCTATGCCCCTGCACCAACCTGGCCACTGTCTGCTTGTCGGGCAGGCACACAGGGTGAATGTGGTCACTGAAGGCAATGGGCTTCTTGAGCTTGAGTAGGGCAATGTCCCGGTCCAGGTTCTCCCGCCAGTTGTACCTGGGGTGGATGTAGATCTTCTCCAGCATGGAGATCTTTTCAATGTTCCGCTCGTACCTGTGCAGACCCAGCGGTCAGCAGAGAAACCAAGAGGCTGCAGACAGTGGCAGCCACTTCCCTGAGGAAGGAAACTGTCTGCCCTCAGGATTGGAAGCCAGAGTGACCAGTGGGCCACCAGGGAGGGGACAAGGCTAACAGCTCCTTCCTTGGCAGCCCCCTGGTAGTGTCTTTCTTTCAAGCCATACAGAGCTTTGGAGTCAGACAGGCCAGACAGACAGGGATGGACACACCCTGGCCAAAGAGTCACTATTTGAAGAGACTCATACCTAGATCATGTACGGGTATCTGGAGTGGAGGCTGGGGACATAGCAGGATTTCTCTCTGTCCCCAACTCCAAGCTTCAGTCAGGACATGGCCAAATGGACTTTTCTAGTGGAGACTGCTGGGATGTTATACGGGGGGTGTGTAGATGCGCTCCCACCCACATGCCCCAGAGCCACCAGAGCCCCTCATGGGCACTCTGGAGCACTCAGACCAGGTCAGCCGCTCATGGGCGGCAGCTCTGTACCTGGTGCGGGAGTGTTTGCCAATGCGCACCAAAAGATCATTCTCAGTGTAGTTCTTGTCCCAGGGCGGGTACAGGAGGCAATGGGCAGCCGTGAGGACCCAGCGGTCACTGATGAGGCTGGCCCCACATAGCAGCTCCTGAGGACTCTTCCGGAAAAGCATCACCTGCCTGGGAAGGGGAGCAGAAAGCATTAGGAACTGGGTACCGCCCTTCGCCAGCCCTAGAAGTAGAAAGAAGTCCCAGATTAAGAATAGCTGTAGGGGGCTGCTACTGGGCTCAGATCCAGCCTGACCCTGCTGTCCCAAAGGCCTGGAGCCCTGGTGTGATGCTACAGGTCACCTGCATTTTGCAGTTTTGCACCCTTCCCCGCCTCTTCTAGTGCAGCGTTCGCACAGCTTAGCACAGCTCTGGAGTCAGAAGAATAGGATTCAAGTCCTGGCTGTGCAACGCATTAGTGAGCCTGGGTCAAGTCACTTAAGCTTTCTGGGCTCGGCCTTCTGCTGAGGGGACATAATAGAGCCAGTGCAACGGGTGCTGCCAGGTGCGAGGGTGGAAGCTGGGCTATGCGAAGCCCAGCGGGTGAGGGAAAAATTCCTGCCAGGGCTGCGGGCGGGGGACAGGAGCAATCAACTGTCCTGGAGGAGGGAGTTGCAGCCCGGGGGCCCAGGACGCACCAGGGAGCGAGGCCAATCTCCGCGTCCCAGCCCTCCACGATGCGACCCTCGATGTAGGAATCCAGAAGCTCCGTTTCCGTTTTGTCTTTCACCGACTTCTTCTCGAACAGAGGCCTCAGGCCACAGTCTGCGGAACAGCCAGGAGATGAGGAGCCGATCCTGGCCACCGGCCCCGGCGTCCCGCGGACGCCCGCGGATGCCTCACCTGCCTCCCCCGCGCCGAAAGTCTTCTCATCAAAAAAGGTCTGGAACTCCTCCACCGTGGTGCGCCCTCCGATGACCTCGTCCCCATCCTCGCTTGCCTCTTCTTCCATCGCCTCCTCTGTAAGGACCCATGCACTGGCTGGGGCTGAGGTGGTGGTTCCTCGCCCTCGCCCTATACCTTCCTAAGCCCCTGTTGGCCTTGGAGCACATTTGGTGCTGAAGTTTAGAGCGCACGCGCACCCGAGTCACTAGGTAACAACTTATCTAGGCCTCAATTTGCTCATCCATAAAATGGGAATAGGACCTGTCCCTGCCGGGTTTCCCTAAGGCTGCTATGAAGGCACCCACTCAAGTGCGCACGTAGTAAGTCTTGGAAAAGCAGGAGTGACCGTTCTTCTTATTCCCTCCGCCTCCCAGGCCCCCTGCCCGTCCGGCTCACCACAGTAATTGAGGTCGCAGTACTCAAAGTCGCCAGGCTCGCCTGCCACGTAGCACCAGACACCCTCCTCATCCCCATCTGGGTTGCGGCAGAAGTTTTCCTCAAGTTTCAAGTCGGGGTTGAAGTCCTGGTCCTTGCTCAGCGCCTTGGCTTTAGTATTGGCCCAGGCCAGGCATGGGGACCCAAGGGCTGTCACCGCTTTGCTCCCCTGGTACAGCCGGCCACGCTCAGGCACGCACTGTGCTGGTTGGGGTGACGGACTCACCCTGGAGCCTCCAGCCCTAGGAGTCATCTGCACAGTGACACGCCCCTCCTGGCCTGGTAGGGGAGGAGGCAGAGGTAGAGTGGGTGGGACCACATCTGAGAATCCCTGGGCTCCTCCCCCAGCTTCAGTCACCTGCCTTTAAGTGGGCTACTCAGGCCTGCAGGGTTGTTGAGAGGATTAAATAAACATACAGGGTAAGTGCCAATGATAAACTAGAGATGGTAACCAGGTTTGGCCTCCTGGGATGTCCCTAACGTATTACAGACTCCCTGATGGCTTTTGTTGTTGTTTTGGTTTGGATTGGGTTTTGTTTTTTAAGGAGTCTGTGTTTTTACAGGGCTCAGTAAAGAATGCTGGAGTCTACCAAGGATGTCTTCATGGACAGGAAGTCCATTTCAGCATGCCTGCGACATAGTGATTGTCATTGTATAGGGGATGGGTGGTTAAAAGGCAGTTAAGATAATTGGGAATTTAAATGGACCAGTTTCAGGATAGACCATCGGATCCAACAGGGATCCACAGAGGGCAAAGAACAGGAACCTGTGTTCCCACGTTGAATTACTGATAGGGATTCTTTACCCCTGCCTCCATCCACATCCTTTGCCCTGCGAATCTACCACAGACAGTGCGGCCCTGTCTTCACCTTGGCTCTGATCATGTGACTTGCTCTCTGACCAGTGGAAGGTGAGCAGGACTGACTCCCAATTCTGAGCCTAGGCCTTAAGACAAACCGTGTACTTCTGTTCACTGTTTTGTGCGTCTGCCATCAGCATGGGAAGAGCTTTCCCAGGACCTGGTGTCTTCCAGCCTTAGCTGCAGCATGAGTGTAAGTGGAGGGATCTGAGCCCTACTGCAGCCAAGCCTGGCTGGACTCATCATTCCTAGCAGAGCCTGCAGCCCACTCTGCCGCAGGGATATAAGGAATAACTACTTATTGTGGTGTGCTGCTGAGATGATGCCCGCATCTGTTTTGCAGTATTATTTTGGCTCTAGCTGAGTAACACACCATGGGAAATAATGACAGAATTCTGTGGGTTGTGTGAGGCTTGCTCTGTGATGCTCAGGAAAGGGCATGTGGAGCTGGGCGCCAGTGGCTCACGCCTGTAATCCTAGCTACTCAAGAGGCAGAGATCAGGAGGATCGTGGTTTGAAACCAGCCCGGGCAATTAGTTCCATAAGACCGTATCTCGAAAAAACCCTTCATAAAAAAAGGGTTGGTGCAGTGGCTCAAGGTGTAGGCCCTGAGTTCAAACCCCAGTACCACAAAAAAAGAAAAAAAGAAAGAAAAGAAAAGGGCATGTGGACTGAAGTGGTCAGGGAGGGCTTCCTGGAGGAATTACCTTGGTAGAATAGAGAGTGGTGTTGGAATGAGACACAGCCTGGAGCATCAGGAAGCCAAAACCAGGGAGGAGAAGAGGAGGCTGTGGCCAGCTCACCCAGGTCTTCTGACCCCCCTGGATAAGAGGCTTTTTGGGCTCTGACTGTGGCAAGGATCTTGGTAACTCATCCCAGGCTGCCAGGCCCCGTGACAACACCTTGGCCACCAACTACCTCACTGCCCCCAGCTCACCACAGATGGGGATGCTGCATTCCTCCCTGCGCACAGTAGGGTCTGTGGTGTAGCACCAGGGGCCCATGGTGCTGCCATCTGGGTTGCGGCAGAAATTCTCCTGCAGGTCAGCCCCAGGATGGGTGGTAAAGTTGACGCTGGAAGGGGAGGTTGCTCAGCAGGAGCCTGGGCCTTCCCAGATGCCCTTGCTCCCTACTCAGCCCGCTGCCAGGCAGACCTGCCCATCACTCACTCAGGCTTGTGTGGGTAGCGACTCTTCCATAGTTGGCACTCAATGCCCGATCGGGTGACGTTCACAGTCCCTCGGTAGTTCATACCCAGATCCTTGGCACAGAGACCTGCAGAGACCCAACCTGGGTCAGTATCAGATCCTGAGGTTTGTCCCTCCTCCTTCCTAGTAAAGTGCCATTTGCCCATCCATCCAAGCTCTCCCTGGTCCACCATCCCTAACCTGCATGTATCTAACAGTTCTACTATCCACTTAACAGCCGTCACCAGATATTCACTGAGGGCCCACCACCTGACAGTCACAGGGCTAAGGACATAGCTATGAGTAAGATAAAATGGTCACAGTCAAGGTAGGTGCCTGCTTTCATAGAGCTTCTATTCCATGGTTCCTTGTGACTGGTAAAATGAAAAAGTCTGACCCTGGTCTCCCAGTCCCTATCTGTTCCTCAAGGCCTTTGCATATGCTGTTCCCTCTGCTTGGAACAAACCTTCAGAAGGTTTGTTCATCGGTGCATCTCACAAGGCCAGGTAGACCCTACTTCTGGAAGCCATCCCTGATTCTGCTGGCAAAGCATACACCCCTTCTCCTGGGTGCTCTTGACATCTGGAACAGAATCTTTCTAGTAATCACTTTAATGTTTTGTGCTTTTGTTTTTCTGAGACTGTGAGTTCTTGAAAGCAAAGATTATTCAATGCACTTTAAATGCCCAGCACCTCCAGGTGTGGTAGTATATGTCTGTAATATCAACACTCTGGGTGCTAAGGCAGGAAGATCACAAGTTTGAGGCCAGCCTGGGCTACATAGTAAGACCCTATCTCAAAAACATCAAAATAAAAATTGGTAATTTTTTAAAAAAATGAATTGAAACTATGGTCAGTGATTAAGAAGCTCCCTGAAGCTCAGCCTGTTGTCAGACTAAAGATAGATTTGGATTGCTGTGGTGCACTTGAACTAGTCCTTGAAGGACAGGGGCTTTCAGTGGGCAGTGATGATTGCTCCAGGGGAAGGTGATAATGTAAGCAAGAGCCAAGAAGTAGAAACATCTTGACATGTTTACAGATGGGCTTGCTGTTGGAGTGGGGGTTGGAGTTCATGTTTGGTACAATGGGAGTTCTAAAATGGATAACTAAGACCAGACTTGCAAAGTCTGTGGGGCTAAGAAACCTGTTTCACTCTGTGGGTGATGGGGAGCCATTGAAGGTTTTGGAGAATGAATGGGACATGGTCAGAGCTCTGATGAAGGTGGACAGAGGCTCTGGTCAGGCAAATGAGGAGGTCTTACTCATCCATTCCTTTGTTCTTCCATCACTAATCATCCTGCCTGCCAACTGCCAGACACAGAGCCACGTGCAAAGTCACACCCTCAACCACAGGAGCAGAATGGTGACATCAGGTGCAGGAGATCACCAGCTGGGCCATGATCCCTAACTCCCCACCACTTACTCTTACACACACTCTCCTCTCCTCCCAGGCTCCCCCCCCCCCCCCCCCCCCCCCCCCCCCCCCCCCCCCCCCCCCCCCCCCCCCCCCCCCCCCGCATCTCCCACCTGCCGTGTCCTGTCAGCCCTCACCTTCCATACATTCCATGAAAGTCTCTCGAGGCTTCCTCACGGAATCACAAGCTACAAAAGACCAGAAACACCTCTGGGATTGGTATAGGGACAGGATGGACTGAAGTAAAGGGTGGTGGGATGACAGAAACACAGAGCTGGAGAGAGGGATTGATGGAAGGAAAGGAGGAAGAGGAGGGAGGGAGTAAGAGAGGGAAGGAGGAAGGGAGGGAAGAGATGTATGCATCTCCGGGGAAGAATGTTCTCTAGCTGAAGTCCCCAGGCCTCCCTTGCTGGTGCAAACCCTACCTGGCACTTACCTGTGTATTTGGCCCAGAATACATCCTGAAAAGCAAGGACAAGGAGTGAGACTGGAAGGGTAGAGTTTTGCCTTGTTTACTAAGCGCCCATCCTCCCTTACCCTGCTCACAGGGGCAGGCTCTGGGGAGGCTTCTGGCTGAGTCTCCTACTCTTTTGCAAATGAAGAAGAGTATATGAGGACAGGAAGTCTCCCCAGCACACAGACTGATCAGTGTCCTCCCAGGCTAGGGTAATTGGGAGAAGAGGGGTTTGTGGGGACCTGGCAGAGCCTGGAGGAAGGGAGAGGCTGCACAGAGTCCCAGAAACACTAAGACCAGAGCCCAGTGTTCCTGACCTCATCAGGACCTCGCTCTCTGCAACAGTGGCACAGAAGTGGTAGAAAGGGTTTAGCCAGCACCAGGCACCCCAGAGAGCCTCAATGTGGCCAGGTGCTGAAGGCCAAGGAGGCACTTTGATGTCACAAGCCTCACTAGATCCTGCAACCATGACACAGCCCCAGGGGTAGGGACCCCCAAGAGAGGATGAAGGTGCCTGGTCAAATGAGTGAGTTGAAGTTTTCAACAGGTGACGAGTTGAGATGCTCCTTGCTGGCCTTCTCTGTGGTCCCATGTTCTGGCCCCTGAGGGCCCACCCTCCTCACCAGCAGGCGGCTCACCGTGGCACTGGAGGACTCCAGGGCCTCAAAGGCCTCCTCGTAGCTGCACTGCTCCTCCACGCACTCTCGCTCAAGATTGCCCTTGCGCAGCTCCTCCAGGAAGCCGCTGTTGGCACGGCGGACCCGGTGGAGCAGTGCTAGTGCTTGCTGAGGGGCCAGGAACACTGCGGTAGGAGGGGCATGGGACAGTCACCTCAGGGAGCTGGGCAATCTTAGCCATTGTTGGGCAGGAAGCAAACCTGCCCTGCCCTGCTAGCTTCCAAGAGGGGATGTCTGGGATGCAGAAGAATCCAGAAGGATGCTAAACATAGCCCACAAGCACCCTTCTTTCATGGGTTGCTCTATATCCACTTCCCATACTGGAAGAGAGAAGCAGTCACCTTCCTTCCAGCCCTAAGCACCTGATTCCTGCCCTAAGCCAGACACTCTGGTCTGAGGCCCACCTAGGGATTGACCCAGTGTTCTCTGCCAACCAGGAAACCCAGCCTACAGGCTTAGCCCGGGGCCCTCCAGCCTGCCCTGGCTTCCAAGTGCCATCTTACCATGCTGGCTGTGCACAAGACTAAACAGGGCAGCCAGGGCCAGGCAGCCAGGTAGCCTCAGGCCTCGGACGTGCGCCATAGTGTGTTGGCTCCCAGGATCTGAGGGACTGTCCTGGTCCCTCTGGGTTAATGTTGAACCAACATGAAGAAATCAGTGGCGAGGGAGAGGTCAGCAGGTCAGGGCCTTGGGGACAAGCAGATAGTCCTCTGGCCCACCCCCGCCATCAGGGAAGACAGGTCCTCCCAGGGATGGATGGTTTCCAGTCACTAAGAAAAGCCCATCATCCATTAGCTCCCTCCTTGGGACATGAGTGAACATAGGTCAGTGAGGCCACAAGACCATCTGAATGTTCTGTCCAATCCCAACAGTGATGGTTGCTTGACTCTCTGTGGCCCTCGGTTTCCTCATCTGTACAGTGGGGATGTTACTTTTGTGAGAACTATGGGAGGTTATGGACATAAAGCCCATGGAATATAATAAGTACTTAAGAATTAGAGCTGTGCATGTAAACCAGTGAGTTAGGAGGTTTGTATAGTCACAGCACACAGATATGAGGAAGAGAGATAAGGATGTGACTAGATGAAAGCTGCCACCTTGCCCTAGGATGACCAGGGATAGAAACATCCAACCCTGGCCCAGCCTCTCAGTCACTGATGACAAGAGTCCCTTTCCCCCTTCCCAGCCAGGGTGCTGTGGAGGTGTGTTGGTGTGTGGTAGCCCGGAGGAGGAACTAGGTCCTCCTTGGGCCTTGAGTCTTTTGTCTGTCATCTTCCATCTCCTGCCTCTAAATAGGCACCAGTCCAAAACCCCAGGTCTCCCTGGCAGGCCTCTGCTCACCCACCTGTCTGCCCTAGTACAGCCTAGGGAGGCTTCTGGTCCTACACAGCTCCTGGGACCAGACTGCTTCTGTCCCTCCCCCATTTCCTGTTTGCAAGGTAAATATTAGTCCTGGGTCTAAATAGGACAGAGGGACAAAGAGCAGGAACAAGGTTCTTGCCTTCCTTGCCATCCTCAGGCCTGGCTACTGGGAGTCATGTATGCAGTCTGGGAAGAGAGAGGGTTGGCAGAGAACTGGGGACTAGGCCCGCCACAAATCCTCTTAATTCCTGAGTGGCACAAGGTCTAACTTCCATACACTATTGTTCACAAGTCATAATTATAAAACTCAACATTTTATATGTACACTTGTGTAACCAGCCCCAACAGTCTCCTTCATGTTGGCTCTCAGCAGTGCTCGTGAGATAACGCCTTCTAACCACTGTCAGCAGAGCTCCGCTTGGTCTAATTTGGAACTTCACAGAAATGGAAACTTCCACCATACACTTGTCTGTGTCTGCCTTTTCTAGTTCAGCATGTTTCTGAGATTCATCCATGGCATGTGTCCAAAGTCTGCTCCTTTTAATGTGGTGCCTAACTGTATGAACACAGTGCATTTTATTTATCCATTTAGCCATTGGTGAGCATTTGAACCAGTTTCTAGTTTGGGGCTCCTATAAGTGGTATCCCTATGAATATTTTTGAATCCATCTTTTGGAGTAAATTACCATTTATTTCTGTTATCCCAGGAGAGGATGTGCTGGCCATAAGGTAGTATATTATTTGCTTAAATGACTGTGATGAAGAACTGTCCAAGAGGGTTGTATCAATTTACACCCCCACCAAGGTTGGAGGGTTCCAATTGCTTACATGGCAGCAGCCTACACGCTTCCACCATGTTCTTACAGGGATCATTGTGATGGAAGAGTAGATGTGCCCCCTTGTGGTTTTAATTTATATTCTTTTCTTTTCTCTCCTTCTTGCCCTTCCTCCCTCCTTTCCTTCCTTCCTTCCTTCCTTCCCTCCCTCCCTCCCTCCCTCCCTCTCTTTCAGCAAGAGGATGAAAAGATGTCATCTCACCAACTGGCTTTGATGGCCACACCTGCAATTCTAGCACTCAGAAGGCTGAGACTAGCTGGGCACTGGTGACTCACACCTATAATCCCAGCTACTTGTGAGGCTGAGATCAGGAGGATGGAGGTTTGAGGCCAGCCCAGGCAAATAGTTCAAAAAACCCTCATCTCCAAAATAACCAGAGCCAAATGGACTGGAGGTGTGGCTCAAGCTGTAGAGCTCCTGCTTTGCAAGTATGAAGCTCTAACCTCAATCTCCAGTCCAGCCAAAAAAAAACAGGCTGAGGCAGGAGGATTGTGAGTCCAAGGGCAAACCGAGCTACATGGCAAGAACTTTTCTCAAAAATAAAAAATAAACAAATAAATAAATGTCACCAGGCACTGGTGGCTCACATCTGTAATCCTAGCTACTCAGGAGGCAGAGATCAGGAGGATCACAGTTCGAAGCCAGCCCAGGCAAATAGTTCATGAGATCCTATCTCGAAAACACCCATCACAAAAAGGGCTGGCAGAGTGGCTCAAGGTGAAGGTCTTGTCATCTCACTAATCTATTCAAACATTACAAGTTGGCTGAGGGAAAGGGGTGGGACTTTTGATAAGTGACAAGAAGAGAGAAGCGTGGCTTTATCATCCTTGTCTCAACACAAGTGATCCTCAGATGGCCTCGTTTTCATGAGGACCAGCATGGGTCAGTGCTGAGTCACCATGGAGAGGGAGAAAAGGCAAGAGGAGGGCACAAAACAAGGCAAGGACAAAGAAGGAGGAGGCTGTCCTCTGGATGTCTGAACTTCTGAAGCCGAGCCGCGAGCATGGAAGAGCACACTGGCTTGGGAGGCCACACCTTGGTTCTCCATCTGTGAGATCAGAACTGCAACAGTATCCTCCCCTCACAAGGCTGTCTTGGAGACACCTAAAGAGGATCACACCGGCCCCTTTGGAGACCCTCTCATTTGGAGCTCCAACCTTGCAGAGTGCATGGTGCTCCCATACCCAGACATGGCTGTCTCATCCCACTTACCTGCCTCCAAGTGTCTAGTGGGGTTGCAGAATTAAGTTGATATCAAGTCACAATTAAACCCATCCCCCCAGAAACTACGTACTGTTTTTAAAGTATCACCATGCCTGCCATATAATAAACACTCAATAAACAGCACTATTACATATGCTGCAATAGGAAATATACGATGCTGCCTGTGAACATGGATCTAATCAAAACTCTAATTTTAACCACTAGTTTACAATACATAAAGGAAATTGGATACTATCACAAGGAATGAGGACATTCAATAGGACAAGTGAGCCCAGTTTCTCTCACAAATTCATGACATAGAAATAAATGGGTGGGGTAGAAGAGACCATTCAGAATAATAAAAATCCAAGAGACCTAACAGCCAAAGGTGTGAAAGAATTGGATTACTATGATCAGATTAAACTTCTGAACAAATGAACTATAAAAAGACATTTTGTGGCTAGGTGTTGGTGGCTCATGCCTGTAATCCTAGCTACTCAGGAGGCAGAGATCAGGAGGATCGAGGTTGGAAGCCAGCCCAGGCAAATAGTTTGAGAGACCCTATCTCAAAAAACCCTTCACAAATATAGGGATGGTGGAGTGGCTTAAGGGGAAAGTCCTGAGTTCAAGCCCTAGTACCACAAAAAAAAGACATTTTGTGGAGAAACAAGAACACATAAATAGCCAGTCACAGTGGCACACGCACCTGTAGCCCCAGCTACTTAGGAGGCTGAGGTGGGAGGATTATTTGAACTCACTTATTTGAGATCAGCCTTGACAAGAAAATGAGACACTGTCTCAAAAAATAAAGAACACTTATTTATAGATTAGGTATTTACTAATATAAAAGAAGAGTTGTTAATCTGATAAGTATCATATGACATGTTTATATTTTTAAGTCCTTCTGAGTTTCAAATTATCCTGAAAAAACCTGCAACAAAACAGATGAAGCAAACAACAAAAGGTGAACAATACTTAGCCCGGGTGGTGAGGTATTATTACATGGTCTTCCCCCAGCAACTTCAGCGTCTGTGGAGGATGGGTGCTGGGCTCCTTAGGGATACTGAAATTCTCAGAGGCTAAAGTCCCTTGTTTAAAATGGCATCCTCTGGGCTGGGGCTATAGCTTGGTGAGAGAGCACATGCCTGCAATTATGAGTTTGATCTGTAGCACCAAATTTAAAAAAAAATAAGGCGTCTTCTTCCTGCAAGTGGCTTTAGGTGTTCTGTAGAAATGATTTGTTATCCATTTGCTCCAGAAACCCCACAAAATCATGCAAATCAAGAGTTTCAAGTATTTGTGTTCATTTTTGTAACACCTATGAACCCACCTAGGCCATCGAGAGTATGCATATCCAAAAAGTCACAAGTAGCTGAAAAATATCACCTTACAGAAGCCAGGCGTGCCACTTTGGTAGGTGTGCCCAGGTCAAACAGTGGGGCTGGACACAGACTGTGAACCAAAATGAGTGCTGCACATGCTTAAAATGCAGAGTAATGCAATACAGACTTAAATGTCAATTCTGTGTCACTGAACACATCCAGGTGAGCAAAGCCCCTAAGATGGAGTGCACATTTGTAGTTCTGGCTACTCAGGAGGATGAGGCAAGAGGATCAGGAGTTTGAGGCCAGCCTGGTCAACACAGCAAGACTCCCTCTCAAAAATAAACAAAGAAAAAACCTTGGAAGGGGCTGGAGGTGTGACTCAGTGGTTGAGCTCAGGCATTCAAACACCAGTACTTCAAAAAACAAACAAACAGGTGGGGGCAGGGGGGAGAAATGAACCAAGCCTTGTATGCACATATGAATAATAAAAGAAAAAACAAACAAACAAACAAACAAAAAGAGCCTGGTGCTGGTGACTCAAACCTATAATCCTAGCTACTCAAGAGGCAGACATCAGGAAGAGCATGGTTCAAAGCCAGCCCAAGCAAATAGTTCAAAAAACCCTATCTCAAAAAAACTCATCACAAAAAAAGGGGCTGGTGGAGTGACTCAAGGTGTAGGCCCCAGAGTTCAAGCCCCAGTGCCACAAAAAAAAAAAGAAGAAAGAAAGAGAGAGAGGGAGGGAGGGAGGGAGGGAGGAAGGAAGGAAGGAAGGAAGGAGGGAAGGAAGGAAGGAAGGAAGGAAAAAGAAAAGAAAAGCTCTCCAGGTATGGTGGCACACACCTGTAATTCAGG